AAAACGTATCATAGTTTGAAATTATCTTAAAATAATTATTCATATATGTTCATTTTCTTTATCTTTGTATTTACATTTATGCTAATGATTGTAATAATTGTTCTTTTTTTCTCATTGTATCAGATATTGCCTATCGTATTTTCTTGGTTTTGTTTTTTGATGTAATCATGCATAATCTTCACAATTGTATTGATACTTATTTAGAATATCTGATCCCCTATCTAACATTTAGTATAAATATCTTCTGCTGCTTATGCAAAAATATCTTATCTACGCTGCAAATAAACTTATATACACAATAACGCATTAAAAATGTAACATCTGAAAGCACTCCTTCTACGAGAAAGAGCCGAGCGAGTCTGTCGACGAGTGTTACTTGTAGACATATATTCCAATAAATTTTTGACTATTCCTTTAGATAATCCTTCGACAATTTTAACGTAGCTACTTCAACTCAAAATCTTTATCTATTATTACATCTCGAAGACAGTATAATCAAACAAAAGACAAATAGTATAGAGCATATTGACGTTAAGCATCGTAAACGATATTTATTATAAAAGATGAGAGTATTTTTTATAGCGATAAATCAATGAAAAGAGAATCTATACCAGATGAAGTCAAATTCTGAAACTGATCACAAATTGTCAATAAATTCTCTTTTTTTTCAAAGCTATCCCATAAATTCCTAAATTTACAAAAAAATGGAATAAATCTCAAAAAAATAAATCCCAATAAATCCAGAAATTCATCGATAAAATGCAATAATTCTCATAGAACAAATAAATGTTAGTATTTATTTAAAAAGCCCAAATAAATCTCGAATAAAGAAGTTCTACAAGCTGCTGAAGAAGAAAAGTAAAGAGAACAACGCATTTGGAGAGAATTGTACGTAAGAGAACGATCGCTACACATATCAGCAATGAAGAAGAGAAAAAAAAGAATAAGAGAGAAAAGCAAATAAAAGTGACAAATAATGACACACAACTGAAAGAAGAGAGAAACAATGATTAAATTCTGTACTGATAGCATAATAGTGTTTTCAAAAAATCGATGATTAAATATTTTAATACATTGTAAATCTTGGACTAATCAAAAACGTTACACTCCAATCATCATTATCCAAATACTTCTGCACTACTCAATATGATACTATTATCAGAGGTTCCACCAGCAACTAATATATTTCCGTTTGTCAACATGGATGCTGTGTGATCATATCGTGAAGTGTTCATGAAGCCAGTAAATGTCCAGAGTCCTGTGGATGGATTATACATTTCTGCACTACTCAATTCGGTGCTACCACTGAGTCCACCAGTAACTAAGACATATCCGTTTGTCAATATGATTGCTGTGTGATATTCTCGTGCAGTGCTCATGTTGCCAGTAATTGTCCAGAAACCTGTAGATGGATTGTACACTTCTGCACTAC